TCTCCAAGATGAAGAGGACAGAAGGATTCACATCCACAAGTGTCAGGGGAAAGTCATGTGCGGGCAAAGCTAAGACTCCGTCTTTCAGAGATGAGTTGCTTGGTGATCCATCGCAGTTGGGTGTTGCTGCGATGGCTTCGAGGGCCATACCGCTCAACGAAATCAAACCCTTCGTCAATCTTGTCGTCACTCAGGCCATCATAGAAAGTCTTGCGGTCAGATGGGGCAGCGCCAGCAGGAGACAAAGCGAAGCTTTGGGTTTGAAACCCTACCATTTTCTCAACCATGTATTGGAGAGCTTTTCTTATAATATTCTTGTTGTGCCCCTGCCACTGTACACATAGACAGTCTCCGTGGCAGAAAGTCTTGAGTCTTGAGGAACTCGGACTTGATCTGCTCAGAGAAGCTAGTGTGCTTCAAGAGGAAATCCTTTCCAGGTTGGTCAGGCAGAGGGACGGCAGCGAACTGAAAGTCGAACTGCGTACCTGGAGAAGCTTTCAACCAAGTCATGAAACCGCTTCTCTTTGCCAGCTTGTGTCACTTGCTCTTTGGGAAGTTGACAGGGCCAACCATGTCAAACATGTGCCTGACTTTGCTGTTGTCTGAGATGGCGTTAAGAGGAAGGTCGCTGGGAAGAACACTGCCACGAGGAAGGTCCACGATGTTGGGTTTCTTCAGCTGATGTAGCAACAATGCATTGGTCGCATTCAGCACGGTTTCCATGGTGATGTCGCCTCACGACGCAGCAGAAAATGCGAGTTTGAGTCAAAATGCCGGCTAATGATTGCGCGCCTGCGTTTCAGTACAACACTGCAGTGCGTGAGCTGAAACAATGAACGTAGCAATGGTAGATGTTTGTATGCTGTCAGCGCGCCGAAGAATTTGCTGAGCAGAGATTTCAAATTCCCTGGCAGGCTCAAAAAGATCAAAGAATTCAAAAGCCCATAGTCACAAAACATTGGCAGGCTCAAAAAAACAAAAGTTTTAGCATCTATAGGAGCTTTTGGGAGGATATGATTTGTTTTTGATTTTCTTGAGCCTGTCAAGGAATTTGCCATTTTTGTCTACCCCACCTTGCAAGAACACTGGCAGGCTCAAAAAAAACAAAAATTCAAAAGCCAATAGTCACCAAATCTATCGTTGCTTTTTGGTGGCTATCGGTATATTTTTTGATTTTTTGAGCCTGTCAAGGAAAAATTAGTTTTTGGCCTACCCCACCTTGCAAAAACACTTGCAGCCTCAAACCAATAAAAAACAACCCCCAAGAGTCCCCATCGATCCTAAAACTTTTGATTTTTTGAGCCTATGTCAGTATTTTGTGACTATGGGCTTTTGAAATTTTTGTTGTCTTTTGAGCCTGCCAGTGAATTTGCAATATCACCTGCAGCAAAGGTTGCAAATTCCTTGGCAGACTCCAAAAATATTTAATATATAGTGTATTCTAAGTGTATATATATATATATATACTTGAACAGATGCAAGAGGATGTTCATTTAGCATATGGATTTTAGATGCCACATGCACATTGCAGCAGATGTGTTGGTACCCCCCACCTCCCCTTTTTAGTGTGGGTTTTGGGGGGG